TACTATTTTGGAGGCATTGAATGAAAACCACTAACGTGTCCTTCAACCATGCAGTCGGTGAGTAACAACTACCGGCACAGTCAGTAGTCATCAGCCACCAACCCCCTAACAAACCCGATCAACCGTGCTCTGCGCAAACACCGCTTGCCTGTCGATTACACATGCAACTTTCCTCAGTGATTTGCAACAACGTCGGGAATAATGTGCTGACAACAACCTGAAAACACTGTTGGATTCATACGGTTTCTTCGTCAGTCTATTTTTGACATTTCATTTTTTTTTTTTTTTTTCGTTGCGCTTTTTTTGTAATATAGGAATTGGACTTATGAAAGTTACATTTCCGTGAATCATACTATTTGCTGGCATCTTAAGAACTACTCTGCAGATTCATTTTTGGTTAAGAAGTAGTAATAATGGTTAAAGTTGTGCAGTAATTTTTAGAATATTTTGCAGGCAGTCGTTGATTGGCATTGTTATGGTTTAGTAGAACGAAACTGTATGGAAGTATCATATTTTAGTTTTTAGTGTAGCAGAAAAGTGTATAGTCGTTGCACCGTATATAGCGATTTAATAAACTGCTCAAAACACTTTTTTTAATATTATTTGATATAGAAAGTAATAATTTTTTTATAATGGTATAAACCCAGAATAGTTTTTTTTTTTTTTTCAAGTACTTTATTTGTTCATCTTATGTGCTTTTTTTCGATTGCAAAAATTGATCCTGTCTTTTTTTAATGGCTAAGATATAGAGGAACAAGTGTGAAGTTACATATGAATAAGTACTCTGTTGTTTTCAAATATTTTTTTTTTTAAATTTAAAATTTGTACAATACTCTTTTTTCTTTCAAATATTTATGATAGATAGAAAGGATATATAAGATGCAGGAAAACAAAGATTATGAGCGATAATTGTTGGTAGTATAAAGTTGTTTCAAGATTATTTTTAGATATAAACTGCGGTCAGTTTATGTTGTAAAAGATTTCGTACTGTGATATCGTTTTTGTGGTTGCATCGATTAAGTTATTACTTGCAAAGGTGTTTAAGCGTTTTAACTGTTTTGCTGCCAATCATATGTTGAGATTTACTGTGATCGATTTATAGTTTTTTTTTTGGCAGTGACGAAGCATTTGCTAAAAGTATCTCATCGTCGCGTTTTTTTTCTTTTATTATGTTAACTAGTTATTGTTCATTGTGAAAACTTTAGATGCGATAGAACATGGTCTTCGAAAGCGTTGTTGCAGATTTGTTGAACCGTTTTTTGGGGGATTTTGTTGACAGCCTAGATGCTTCGCAGCTCAACATTGGAATATGGAGCGGTAACATTCGTCTACTTTTTTTTCTTTTATTTTATTGGTTTAAAAGACTGTTTAGGTCATTTGAGAAGGCAATTTAGCAGCAAAGGTCTCTTTAAACCAGCATAATTTTGTCGAAGCATAGGATTTTCATTACAAAAAAAAGGGAATCAATTTGCAAAAATCCTATCGACGTCGCAGTAAAAAAAAGTTCTGTTATTTTTGAAACTGCTGATGCACTCTGTGTGTTCTTGAATTATGGAAGGGCTTTCTTTACATACACGTGGTTGCAGCCATTGGTTATTTCGATTATAGGGAAATCTTACAACTGATTAGAAAGTAGTAGTGTTTTGTATGAAGGTTTAATGTGACATGATAGCTGTCCTTTGATTTCCTCTTTTGATACAGAATGTTGTTAACAGACATGTGGTGTTTTCAGCATTTGGAGAAGAGGTCATTCGTTACTTTCCCTAGTAGTAGCTTAAACTTTTTGAGCGGCTTTGTCTCATTTTAGTTACTCAGGAATTTTTTTTACATCCCACAGTCTACCATTTTTTTAATCGTTTCTTGTTATAGTGAAACAATAATTTTATTCAAGAAGACACAGTTCAGGTCAAAAATGGATTAATTTTTCTTTTAAAAGCGAAAAAGAAGTTTCAGTAATGTGAAAACTGGTGCGTCTTTTTAATTAGCTTTTAGAATATTCAGTCGGTATCTAGCCTGATCCCAGGTGGGGCCAGAATAACAATTTAGTGACTCTTCAACGAAGAATTTTAAATCTTTATTAACTAATCATCTGTTACAATAAAGTTGTATCTCCTTACTCTAATCTTGGATTCGCTGGTAGTATTCTTGTGCATTAGAGATAAAGCGTCCTCTTCGCTTAAATAATCAATAACTTTTTCTGTTTGTAGTCACCAGTAGTTAAAGCTTCATTCAATCTAGGTTTTTTTGGCAATTTTTTTTTCGAAGACAGTTTTAGTTTTATAAATGGGGGAGGGAAGGGGAAAAAGCATTCAGGAGGAACATGGTAAGTAAGCTACTAAATTTGCTGTAAAAATTCTCAAGTAGTTTTTAATTTTTCTGATAGGGAAGTTGAGATTTATTTACATCTCCACACTTTGTGTCTTTTTTAAGCATTCTGTTTGGTTAACTGTTGCATTGTTCGGGTTTAGGAAGTCAAAGCTTTGTTTAGGCGATGTCAAGCTGGAGAACTTGGAAATTAAGGAAACGGCATTGGATGAGATGGAGTTACCGATCAAACTGAAATATGGTTATTTGAAGAACTTGACGTTGCAAATACCATGGAAAAGTTTATATACAGAACCAGTTGTCGCAACCATTGATGGTGACTTACTTCATACATGCCCGGCATTTTAGCCTGTAGTTTAACATGTGGTATTTTGAAGGCTTGTACATGATCGTGGTCCCGAACAAAGGTGTTGTTTATAATGAAGAGAAAGCAAAGAAAGTTGAACAAGAAGATAAGCTTAAAAAACTAATGCGATTGGAAGAGAATAGGAAAAGAAGAAGGAGTAAGTTTTCCGGAGAAGTAAACTTCGTGTTATTTTTAACTGTCTGGTTTCCCATAATAATTATTTGATAGATTGCCGAATTTCGCGAAACTTTTTGTGACTAGTTTTTAATTTTTAGAGGAGGTCCAAGTCGCTGATGATGGATTTACTGAAAAGCTCGTTGCACAAATCATCAAAAATTTGCAGATTCATATACGTAATATTCATGTCCGTTATGAAGACAAGTATACAAATAGGCATAGACCGTTTGCTCTCGGTATTTCTTTGGAGGACCTTCACTTTCAAGTTCGTTTTTTTGCAAGTTGTGCTGATTTGGTAGTTTTAAAAGTGCAGGTCAAGAAAAATGACTTTTTTCTTGAGTAAAAGTGATTGTTAGTAGCTATATTTTCACACCTTTTTTTTAGCATTTTAGTTTAGTGAGTTAGAACATATATTTTTTTTTAGACGACGGATTCTAACTGGAAAGAGACGATACATAAAGAGGCTGTCAAGATAGTTTATAAATTGGTTTCTTTGAACAGCTTAGCTGTTTACTGGAATTCGGATACTAAACTCATATCGGATTTGGAAGACCATCAAGAAATAGAAAGACTAATGGTTGCAGGGATTGCATCTAGTGGGAGGAAGCCGGAGGGCTATACTTATAGTAAGGAAATTTGAATGTGTCATCTATGTATTTTGCATTTTGCCTTTTTTAGTTTTAGAGTTTTTTCCATCTGTAAAAGCAGTGTTCTGAAGTTTTGGTGGCTTTTAGTAATTGAGCCAATTACTATGCAAGCCAAATTGTCGATGAATCAGAAGCCGGAGGCAGACGGTTCAGACTGGAAAATTCCAAAAATCAATTTAATTGTTGATATGGAGAGTCTTGCACTTTTTTTGGGGAAGTTTCAATACCAAGATGTATTACTCGTTCTCGATGCACAAGAGCGTGCAGCAAATGGGACGCGGTATTTAAAATATCGCCCAAACTTAAACGAATATAATGGCCATTATAAGATATGGTTTGTTATTCATAAGATAGCTAGTTCATTTGATGGGGTTCAAATGATTTAGGGTTAATCGTTAGAAGCTTTGACATGTTTGGGTTTTTAGGTGGCACTTTGCATATGAATGTGTTCTAGAAGAACAGATTAGAAGGAAAAAAAGGAATTGGTCTTGGGAACGTATGAAAGCTCACAGATGCCTCGTACGTAAGTATAAAGAAGCATGGATCAAGAAGCAGACAGAGAAAAGTATTGGACAAGAACACTCAAAAGTCATTGAGGTTACTGTAGCTTGTTCTTAGAAAAGAACTTGAAAATTTTCCGTATAGTAGTTAGTACTGCCTTTTTTCTTGATGTATATCACACTACTTTTCTGTAAAGACTGCTAGTGTTTTCAAGCAGCACGACGATTTCAGGAAGCTGAAGACTCATTAGATATTTTCAACATAAATGTTGCTCGTCAACAAGCCGAATTTGAAATTGATCGCTTAGGATTGACGCGTCTAGAGGATCAACCACAAGGGTGGCTAAATTGGGCAAAAAGCTGGTTAATCTTTTTATTTGGGATTTTTTGGTCATAAGTTGAGCTTTGCTTTCTAATTCCCGCTAGGGATTTATGTCTATCTGAAATATTTTGGGTGCATCTGGTGCTTTTTAAATTCCTTTGATTTTATATTTTCCCAATTCATTTATTTTTGTGTTTTCAGGTGGGGTGGAGATAGTAGTGGTAAAGGTAAGGATTCTTCTAAACATTCTCCTGGTAATATTGTCTCGCAGTTCGAAGAAGCTATGACTCCCGAGGAGAAATCGAAACTTTATGAAGCAATAGATTACCAGGTCAGGTTATTTATTGTTTATTTGAGTTTTGATACAATCACCTTTTAGTCGTTTGAGTTTTCTTTAAATATTTTTCGACCATGTCATTTATAACGAAAATGAGCTCTTTCCTCGTTGGATTTAATTCATCAAATATTCATTTTTGGAAGCTCTTAACTGTTAGTTCCGTTATTTTGCTTTGTTGTAATACTGGCATTTGTATACCAAATAAATAATTTTTTTCAGGAAAACACTCCACCTACGGATTATCCTAAACATTTTGTGGAGAACGTCGTTTCAATTGGTTTGAAATCGGTGGAAGTTGTTGTCGAAAACTCATTGCATTTGAAGTTTATGACACTGACGGGTCATGTGGAACAAAGACCATCTGCATCAGCAATCAAGTGAGTTCCTCATTTTCCCAAAGTTTGTTACAGTAGAAAGCACGAAGTAATTTATAGCCGTATTTGTTGAAGAATTTTCAAAAAATTGCGAAAAACATTGGAGTAATTTGGTGCTTGTAGTAAGTAGAAGTTTTAAATTTTTGTCTTACTGATATATTTTTTCAGAAATGTAGATCAAGTTTTTTATACAATGCATTGTATTTTAAAATGCATTATGCTGTAGATGACTTGAACTCTGCTTTATTTTGAAGGTGCTGCTCACCATTGTTAAATACACTCAAAGACTTTGCGTTTTTTTTCAGTTTTCATTTTATATCGTTACATTTTAGCTAACAAACCCTAGTTATTGAAAAATTTCCGTTTTTTTTTTT